TACCCTCAAAACAAAGCTATCCTAGAAAGACTTGAGAAAGAGATTGAGTTGATCCACAGCAGACAGCCCGCACCAATCATTAGCAATAGGAACCATGAATCACTGCGCTTCATCTAGATAACTCAACTCAGCTGAATAGTTTTTTTTGGTTGTTTTTTTACGGCACTATTGACTCATTTTTATGGACAGTAGCTGACAGGAAAGGGGATATGAGAGAGGGGGAGAGACATTCGGGAAACGACCACAGGCCGGATTCGAACCCGGGTCGCAGACTAAGGCCACAGTCTAAGCCCAACTCAGCTGAATTTTTATTGTACTTGCACTCCAGACCCTGTGCTAATAAACCGTTTAGGCTTCCTGTGCATTTTATGTAAAAATCCAAGGCTCAGTTTTTCAAAGGTCTTAGTTTCAGGAGTGGAAGAAAGGAATGAGGGAAGGGCAGAAAGAGTAAAAAGACAGAATAAAATGGATTTTGGACAAACGAAGCACAGATTGAAGGAATGTAAGACTTAAAAGAATAAAAAAGTAAGGGAACAAAAAATAAAGAGATTAATAAAAAAGACCCAAACATTAGTTTTCTGGAATTGAATTACAGCAAGATGCTTTATCAAAAACACAACCATAAGAAATACATTTTTTTCTGATTTACAGCATGTGATCAGAGTTAAAGTAGCAGAGTTTATTTCTTATCATCCTGTTAATTAAATAGATATTTAATATATATATTTAACAAGGGGAGCTCAAACTTAGATCTTGTTGCTTTTATTCCAATAAAATTAGGCTCACTTGCAGATTTTTGTACATTTATCAAATTCCATCCATTTTCACGGTTATCCCAAGCGGGGTGGTGAGGGGTGCAGGTGTCTATCTCAACTGTTTATGGGGTCCACCCTGGACAGGTTGCCATTCCATCGCAGGGCAACACAGAGACAAACAAGACAAACAACCATTCACACACACATCTAAGGGGAATTTAGAGAAGCCAATTAACCTAACTTGGACTATCGGAGGAAGCCAGAGTACCCGGAGAGAACCCACTCATGCACAGGGAGAACATGCAAGCTCCATGCAGAAGAACCCGGGGCATCAAGCCCGTAACTTTCTTGGTGCAAGGCAGCAGTGCTACCCACTGTGTCACTGAGCAGCCATTTATCAAATTTTCACCTGGTTTTTGGTAAACAAGCAAAACATTTCACATTTTCTTTCTTTTATTCTGTTCATTTTATAGTATTTTTTAGTGAATATAAAGAGCCATTTAAGGGATTCTATAAATGTTGTTCCCATAGTCAAGAAGAGGTGAACAGCTGGAATGCAACCTTCATCTAACTTTTTCACCACATCTGAATCAGATTTATCTGAACTTTTCTGAACAAAACAGTCCAACATGCAGCCTTAAAACCAACCTGTTTGTACGGACAGAGCAGATCTTCCAAGAAGATGCAAAGTGTTTTTTTTAAGCATCTAAGCCCTGATAAATATGCAGGTCATATTCTATTGACCAAACTGCACTAAGTCTTGGGTGCAGGGTATGTAAATATAAACATTTATAATATGCAACAAGATTTTCAAAGTTAGAAACTCAAATGCTGCTGCAATTTTTATGTCTTTCTTTAATCTCTTTTTGTCAGGATTTGGTTAATGAGTGAGATGACCCAAAAGCAGAGGCAGAGAGGCAGAGGTGAATCAGAAACCTTGGGGAAAATCAGGGGAATCACAAACAAGACGAGGTGGGCACAGGGAGAAGGAGTTGGAGCAAGCAGGCGGTGTTTGACGAGGACCCAGCAAAGGGGAACTGAACAGAGAGGGCTTTTAAAGGAGACTGAGACAAAGAGGGGGCTAACGAGGGGATTGAAAACAAGTGAGGGCAGTGCAGAAAACAGAGCTAGTGAAAGAGGACACAAGGGGGCAGCAGAGGACAACAAATGGAAAACCAAGATGACTGGAAATAACAAAATGATAATCAAATAACTAGGATAATGAAACATGATGAAAAGAAAACTAAACACTAGAAATCAAGGAGTAAGGAAAGACAGAATACTCAAAAGAAAAACATAACAGAAACAGAAACCTAACACTTTTAAGTCAGGTGCAAAATCAAAACGCAAAAATATCTGCTTTCATTGGTGCAACAAAGTAGTTATTGGTTCAGGAGAGGATGGAGCTATCTAAAGATGACTTTCTAATGTTTTAAAAAAATATATATATTTCAACTAAGCTTTGGTTATTTTATTCATTTTATATTTTACCTTTATACTTTTTATTTTTAAAAACAATTATTGCCTCCATCTCAATGGCTTTGAACCTCTTCTTTCTTTTACTTGTAATGGGCAGAGCCAAACCATTTTTAAGGTCTTCATGCATATTTAACAGGCGTAAATGCCAGACTTCATACACAGTGTTGCCAACTCAGCGACTTTGTCGCTATATTTAGCGACTTTTCAGACCCCTCCAGCGACTATTTTTCAAAAAAGCGACTAGCGACAAATCTGGCGACTTTTTGTCTTTCTGCAACGACATTTCTCCCACAGCATCAATACCATGCACATCACTTCCTGTGGCAAATTACGCAAATTAGGCGATGACATCATTTAGTGACTTCTAGCGACTTTTAGCACAGCCAATAGCTACTTTCCTTAATGAGGAGTTGGCAACACTGTTCATACAGTGGTGCACATGTTGGGATTGTAACTTAATGGAGATGGAGGGGCGAGAGTTTTTGGCAAGACGAAAGGAAATAAAAAAAGAATTGCTCCTTTTAGAAGGAGGGATACTGACGTGACGAGCTGAGCGTTGTCGTTGGGGAGAATTTTGAGCATCTTCCGTCTCCAGGTCAGAAACCCGGCCAAGGTGCTGTGTGGGTTGTTGGACACGTTGATCTGGTCCTTGTCAGTCCAAACCTCCAGACCAATTAAAGCCACGCGGATCTTCAAATCCTTGTAGTACTGTTGGCAGTAGATAGAGACATGAACTACTAATGAGAATAAACAGAAGCAGTGACCCTCATGTTAATAAAGTCTCATAGGCGATGCTACCTTGTCAACCAAGTTGGCTGCTTCCAGCAGCTTTTGTTGCGTCTTGTAAAAATCCATCTCATTTCTCTCAAACTGCAACACAACATAAACCAGAATAAAGACATAAATGACGTGATGGCTGGCCTACTGCTTTACTGTAATGAGAGAGAAATTCCTCACACCTACAACTTTTTAAAATAAAACGTCAGTGTCCCTGAGTCCTACCTACGTGAAAAGGTGTGAAACCACAATGAGTGAATGATGTACAGGTGCCCATATATGGTCATTCTACGAACCTCAGCTCTGTCTGCAACCAACAGAAGCTCCACGTACTTCATATTCTGCATCACTTCCCTTTTCTCCTGCATATAGAAACAGATCAATGATAAAACAGTGTAATACATTGCTTTGCATAGCATGTACACCTCTAGGACTTCTTCTTTTTATTATTTTTTTAATAGTAACATTACATTTTAATTTATTGTATTGCGATTTTATGTGATAGAGCCACTTGAAATAATGTGAAGTGAAGTGAAAGTAAAAGGAAACAATTCTTT